CAGGGAGCCCGATGTGGGACTCGATCCCGGGACTCCAGGATCATGACCTGAGCCGAAGGCAGTCGCTTAACCAACTAAGCCACCCAGGCGCCCCAAGACTATTTTTTTGTGTGCCATGACTCAGATCTCAAGATTCAGTTTAAATGTCACTTCTAGAAAATTTAGCCTTAATGTCTAAGCAGAATTAAGTGACTTTCTTTCTTCTGTATTTTTTTTTAAAAGACTTATCCACCTCTTTGAGAGAGAGAATTCAGGAGTGGGGGAGGAGCAGAGGGAGAGGGCGAGAAGCAGACTCTGCGCTGAGTACAGAGCCTGACTCAGAACTCAGTCCCACAACCCTGAGATTACGACCCAAGCCAAAATCAAGAGTCAAACGCTTAACTGACTGAGCCACACAGGTGCCCCTCTTCTGTATTCTTCTTCTTTTTTTTTTTAGATTTTATTTATTTATTTGAGAGAGAGAGAGCATGAGCAGGGAGAGGGGCAGGAGAGCAGAGAGAAGCAGACTCCCCACTGGGCAGGGAGCCCGATAGTGGGCTTTGATCCCAGGACCTTGAAATCATGACCTGAACTGAAGGCAGACGTTTAACCTATTGAGCCACCCAGGCATCCTCCTCCCCGCCAAATTTTTTTTTTAAGCTGTACATCCAGTCACACGCCTCCCCCAGGCATGTCTGGACTCCAGGAGCACTTCTGACATGTCACTTGTAAAGCAATGGTCATTTATGTTGTAGTTATTTAAACTGTCTACATGTAATTATTTCCATCACCACTAGACTGTGAATTCCTTACAATAAGGCACCAGATACCATGTGGGCACATACTGGGCAATTTACTCATCTATAAAATTGGGATAATACTTTGCAGGGTTGTGAAGATTAAAAGTGAGTTATACTGGATGTAAAATCAAAATTTAAAAGAACAGATGCAGGGGCGCCTGGGTGGCTTAGTCATTAAGCATCTGCCTTCGGCTCAGGTCGTGATCTCAGGGTCCTGGGATCGAGACCTGCACCGGGCTCCCTGCTCGGCAGGAAGCCTGCTTCTCCCTCTCCCACTCCCCCTGCTTGTGTTCCCTCTCTCGCTGTGTTTCTCTCTGTCAGAAAATAAATAAAATCTTTAAAAAAAAGGGTAATGATTGAGTACTATCTCAGTTCAATTTATTTTAAAAAATAAATAAATCTTGGGGCGCCTGGGTGGCTCAGTTGGTTAAGCGACTGCCTTCGGCTCAGGTCATGATCCTGGAGTCCCGGGATCGAGTCC